TAAAAATATGGATTAATAAATAGTAAAATAGTATAGTAGTTAAAATTAGTTAACTACATCTACATGCAGATTCAAGGACACATTTTAAAGACATAATGTTGGTTGCAAATATCCATTGGCCAAAGGATACACACAGCATGATATAATTTATGTACTATTTTAAACATACAAGGGGTCCGTATGAGGGAATAGCAAACTTTTCTGTAAAGGGCCATGTAGTAAATATTTTGTGGTTTTGGAGCCTTTGTGGAAACTACTCACCTCTGCGGTTGTAGCATGAAACTAGCCATAGATAATACATAGATGAACATGTATGGCTGTATTCCAATAAAGCTTTATTTACAAAAATAGGCAGCAAGGTGGATTTAGCCCTCAGGCCTTAGTTTACTGAACCCTGACCTATACCATTTTCCTTAGAAAGTAGATGATACTGATATCTAACTTTCAAAAAAGAGCTTGCCTCTAGGGAGAGGGAGAGGAATGGGATCAAGGAGAAGCAAAGTTACATTTCACTGCAAAGTTCAGTGTGTGTGTATATATATTTTTACTCTTTTAGAGTTACATTTATTTGTTTCTGTTTGTAATCTATTTTTTCTCCCTGTTTTTGTTGATTTTATTTGTTCTATCTCTATCAATCATCTATCTATATCTATCTACCTACCTATCTATCGAGTTATTTACTCATTATATCCTATAATTACAAAATTCTCCTCTTTATCCCATTCTCGCTCTTCCCCCTGATCTTTCCTTTAGGTTTTCTTTGATAGGTAAAACTTTGTCTATTCTTTTCTTTTCAACATTTTTAAGTTATTTTGGTTTGTAACATATAGTTGTTTTTTTATTCAACTCTAAAAGGTCTTTGTATTTTAGCACATAACTTTATCTCATTTACATTTATTTGTAGGCAGGTATGTTTAATCTTAATTATATCATTTTTTTAACTTTTGGGGGGATGTTTAGTATGTTCTTTTTTTAATAATTTAAATTTTTTTTCAATTACAGTTGACATACAATATTAAAAAGTATTAAGCCAAACATGGCAAAATATCGACATTTGTTTAATTTGTATCTGTGTTAGTTACACTATTCTCTGTATTTTTATGTGTAATACTAAAAAAAAGGTAAAGTCGATACATTAAAATATTTAAAATAATGTGAACCAGAACAATGAGAAACAGAAACATCTGCAAGAATGATATTTCTTCCAGAAGATCCCGTGCTTGTTTGTATACCTCTTACAGTCATAAGTTAGGCCAAAACCTTAAGAGATGTGAATTGCAAATGGAGGAACTTTTCTCTGTTCTCAGAACTAAAAATAGCTGCATGATGGGTATGTGGACTCCATGTGGACTCTAGTTGAAACTCTAAAGAAGCTGATCTCATATCCATTTTCTCTAGTTCAGTTCTGTTATCCCTTTTATGAGAAGAGATTGATCATGAGGCATAAAATATCACTTAAGAAACTTCAGGGTTTACATAGCAGGTGCCAAACAAAGCTTAGTGACAATTATCAGAACTTTGTCTCTGAAAGTAGAAAACAAACCCTCCAGATTAAATAAGAAGCTGTCCTTCTAATGTCAAACTTAAGCCCAGCACTGGATTGATGAGAATACTGCCAGGGCCTGCTCTGTCTACCCTGCAGCAAAGCATGTCATAATCCCATTATGAGCAGAGAATCCTTTAAGATGCTCTGGCCATATCTCTTTAGCCATGTTTTCTTAATATAACTGTAAGGCCTTTTGGTTATTCTAAAACTAATAACTAAAATAATTTCTTTATTTGCTTGGGAAGTGAGTAGACAAAGATTAGAATAATGCTTCCTGGAACACCTTGTTACTCAATATGCTGTCGATGGCCCAGCAGTATGCTCAAACTTTAATAAGCATAAAAAATATGAGGGTTTCTTGTAAAAATCGGATTCTGAGTCAGAAAGTCCAGTGTGGAGCCTAAAGTCCTACACTTCTAACAAGCTTTCAGTAAGTGCTGCAAGTCCACTCTAGAACTTTGCTGCTCCATGGCATGGTCCAGCATAGACCTCACTTGTGAGCTTGGGAAATATGAATTCTCTGTCCCCTTCTCAGATATCTGAATCAGCATCTACATTTCAGCAAGACACCCAGTCATTTATACGCTCATGAAAGTTTGAGAAGCACTGCTCTAGAACAATTTTCCCAAGGCTTTGATTGAACATCTCCTATTTACATAATGTAGCTACTACTGGTATCCAAAAGTCTTGAGATATGTCATCCTGCTGTAGCAGGTTCTAGCAATGCTCTGCCCATATCTCCTCTGATCCTTTTGCCATTTTAATACACATTGCCCCGGTGGACTTTTACTCTCAATAACTATCACCGGTGTCTTCCTCTGGATGCCGGGACCCTTTCTGCCTGCTATCAAGGAAAGCAGAAAGTTGCTGGGGATTTCCACCCTCTTCAGCAGCACTTAACCAAGACTAACAGGCATAGGGATCACCATACTCCAGGTCCCTTGATCCTGATTAGAAAACCCAACTTTGGGATATGGTCTACACAGAAAGGAATTAAAAGTTACCATCTGCCTGAGTTTGCTTGGTACCCCACCCTTCCCAGTCCTGCTTACTCCCCTATAATTTTACAGGGAATACTTTGTAATAAACCCATTTCTTATAAATCATTGTCTCAGGATCTGCTTCTCAGGGATCCAAGTAAGACACATGTTATTTTAGCTCATGTGATGGAGGCGGAGACCAGCACCCAAGAGTTGGGTTATTTCCAAAGTTCCCTTGGTCACCGCCTTTTCTCCCTCTGAATCTTTGTATACCTCTTGTATATCTCAAAAGGCTGTAGGAAGTTGATGAATTCTAGGAACTCCACACTTGGAAATTTAGATGTTCACATTCTCAGACTATGATGAAAATAAATCATACTTTACTTTCTGAATAAGCTAACTGGCTGTGGAGTAAAGGTAGTGATGGTGCTCTCTTACAGCAGACTTTATAAAGAATCCATAGAAAGAGCAAAGAATCTAGAAGACCTGCACTGACCAATGAGGCAGCCACAGCCACTAGTCACGTGTGGCTACTGAGTACTTGAAAGGTTGCCAAAACAAATTGAGATGAGCTATAAGTGTAAAATGCACACCTCATTTCAAACACTTAACACATAAAAGAATGTAAAGTATCTCAGGAATTTTATGTTGATTACATGATTAATGATGTTTTAAAATATTGGGTTAAATAAAATTTATTATTAAAATTAGTTTCACCTGTTTTTACTTTTTTAAAATGTGGCTACTAGAAAATTTTTAATGGCGTGTATAGTTCACATTGTATTTCTATTGGACTGGTTATAATAGAGGCCTTAGTTTTCAACCTAAAAGGTCAGAACCAGTTAAATCTCCCTAAATCTTTGTAATGCCTTCACTGTACTTATTTCTAGTGTGGAATCAGCCCCCAGTAAATATACAAAATGGTACATTGCCCTCAATTATAAATACTTTTACCAATGCTTAAAGTTGCCATGGAGCTAAAAATGTTTAAAGCTTGATCCTTAACTCAGAAAATATTATACCAGAAACATATTTTAAAAATCAGTGCAAGTAGTTATTACTCCTAGTTTACAATAATCTCATTAGAGGAAATTTTATTTTAAAGCTGTTAGAAAGTTCTTTCCATCTTTTTCTCTGTGTACATCAAGTTTGGTAGTCAATTAGTTTGCTTTATTCAGTTAATCTGTGCTGTCTTTCCCAGGTCCTCCACCAACAGTGCATGGGGTTCAAAGCCTCAGAACTTCCTGATTGAGTTCCCTTCTTTGGTTTCTCAGCCTCAGATTCATCCTTGACATGGCTGCCAGATGATCTCTCGAACACACAGTCTAGCCCACAGTCTTCCCACCCTGCACCCTAAACAAAAAGCCCTTCAGTGGTATCACATTCTTTTGCTAAATTATCTCCAGACACCTGAATAGACATTAAATACTCTCCATACTTTGGCCTCAATTTTACTTTTTGTCATTGCAACTTCCCCTCTCTTTTCCAGTTAAGATTAAACTATCCCTCGTTCCCTCTAAATCCTGCCATGTGTGCTTACCTCTGGTCTTTTCCCAACTTTCTCAGCTTAGAATGCCTTCTTCCCTCTCTCATCACTCTATGCCCCCATTTCTCAAGTCTCACCTCAAGTGTTAGATGAGGGCATATTATCACTGTCTTAAGTCAAAACAAAAGAAACAAAAGATCAACAACAAACAGAAATAAAAAAACTAGGTAGAAGAGCTGTTGAACTAAAAAATGTGATTTCATTGAAGAGAAAGCCAAGTCAACAATACTAGATAATTAGATGACTTAGCTCTCATATTATCTTCTCTCTGGTCTTTTGGACCAGAATGTTAATTGTGTGTTCAAAATCATCATCCTGAATGGAACTTCAACTTTATTTGTAGATTTGCTCTTTTCCGTTTTTTTGGAAGCCGAGTGAGATTACTGGTGAGTGGTGAGAAGGAGAGATTAAGATAAAATGAGTTATGGGGGATTGACAGAGTTGGAGGAGGGAGAGTACTGGCCATTGTATGACATTGTGACTGCAGCTGGCTTAGAGAACTTATAGAACTGTAACATTTAAAGATCCCTGGTAAAGCTGCTTTGGCTTACATAGTAAAGCGGGAAGATTACACCTGCACTGTGTTGAAAATATATTTGATAATATTTTAAGCTTTTCTATAACTCTCTATCTGTTTATAATGCAAGGAAACTAGTAAAAAGTGGTTATTGAAAGGCAACATACCAGGTCCCTATCAGCAGAGATTTTACAAAGCAGAAAAAAATTGTTTATGTGTAAAGAATATTTCCTTAGGAAAGGAGTAGTCACTCGGGATTTGAATTTAATTATGTCATTTTTACAAAGAAAGAGAAAAAAACTCTTAGGCATACAAATTGAACTAATTTTTCTTCCTGGTAGCCTAGCTAAAACATGCGTCTAATAACTGTACAGTATTTAAGCTAATGCAAGTGTGATTTACATTTTCCAGGAATGGACAAATGAGGTTTTCAGTTTGGCAACAAACCTGCTGGCTCAAAACATGTCCAGGGATGCATTTCTGGAAAAAGCGTGAGTAGCTCTAATTTTATTGCTTAGGGTGTTGCTTCTTCTGAGTCAGTTTCCTTTCTCCTTGGTGAGTCTGTTGTTTGTGCTGCATTGGCTTCTCACAATGATAAACATAAATTTCCCTTTGGGATTTGTTAGAGAACTGATACCTCCACTGTTTGAAACTGGAAGACTTCCAAAAAGAATCACTCTTTTCTTCAAGCTGCACATCCGTGTTACACTGAGCTCCCCTGAATGTCAGTGCCTTTGGCACACAATAAGGAGACACTCCCAAATCCTGGCATCTGTGCTCAGAAACAAAAATTATTCATTTTAAATAGTTCTCTGCTTCTACATCTGCCTGTCTCGTATCAATTATTTATCTGAGGGAGAGAAGGAACAATATACGGTACTCACTTCTCTAGAGTCTTAGATCTCTGTTAGATGCTACCATAACTTCTTGCCTACTTAAATCAATAGGCTGTTGTCCTGATTCCTGCCTTTACAATCACAGCAGTGTTAGAAAGAAAAGAGAAAGAGGAACAATATAAAGGAAAGCAGAATTAAAAGGAGAAGGAAAGAAAAGCAGGATTACTCAATTACTCTGGAATTACAACAGTCTTTCTAAAAATTATTTGACTAAGGAAAACAATGATTTCTGCCAGATGAGCAGCAAGGAATCATGGTGTTCGCTTTGGAAGCTGTGGATGTCCAGGAGGTTGGGAGCCTTGAAATCAAAACCACAGGCGGAAACTCTTCTAGATGATCCTCTCTTTTACTTGATAACTTTCTCTCTTCCCTCTTCTTCTGTAAGACATACCACATCATTCCAGACCTTAGATTCCCACCCACATTTCTTTTTTACTCTCCTATGAATTCCTTTTAGTTTGAGTCAGGACCTCAGAAATCTTCACTTAAATGTTTCTCATGTAATCATCTGCTGTAGCCATTCTAGAAGCTGTCTTTCGGTGAACATTTGTAAGCATTTCTGTTGCATATACACTTAGATATGGGACTGCTGGGTCATACTGCGTGCGGTTTCTTAACGTGGTAGTCCCAGTTTACTCGCCCATCAGCAGAGTTTAAAAGTTCTGTTGCTCCATCTCTATCCACAAGGCCAGAAGCAGTTGAAGAGATAAATACAGTTGTTATATTCACACGGTATAATACTATACTATGATGAGAATGATTAATCTACAACTATAAGCAAAAATATGAATGGATCTCAAAAACATAATATTGGCTAAAAGAAGCCAGACAAAATAATGTGATTTTATTTATGTATGGTACAAAAACAGGCAGAAATAATATATGTTATTTAAAGTTAGGATTATTGTTTCCTTTAGGGGAATAGAGTCTAGAAAGAGGCTTCTGGGATGCTACTAAAGTGATAAGGTTCTATTTCTTGATCTGGGTACCGACTACAGAGAAGTTTGTGAAAATTCAGCAAACTGTACATATTCATGAGCCCTTTCCCAATGTATTTTATTCTTCAATAAAAAGCTTTTTAAAAATTAAACATTTGTTTTTTTCGTTCCTCCAACAGCTATACTAAACTTAAGCTGCAAGTCACTCCAGAAGGGCGCATTCCTCTCAAAAAGTAAGCTGCGTGAGCATTTCTCATTATTCATTTTCTTTTTCTCAAAGATTTGAATTGTGCCGTGACTCTGTTTGGTGTCTCTACTGGCCCAAGTGGGAGTATGGAAATGTGTGGTCATCCCATCTTCCCTCACATTCCATGTTTAGATCCATTTCCTCATAGAGATTTTCCTGGGCTTCTCCTTCCTGTGGCAACATTTTCAAGAAACACTAAAGCAAGAAATGGTTGGAGTGGGTGGGAGGAAACTTGCTGATAACCCAAAAGATCATCTGAGATTAAGAACTATTCCAGTGATCACCAGTTTCTTTCTAACAAGATAACACTAACCTTAAAGCAGGCATTACAAACTCAAATATCAACAGAAGCCAGGCAGGGAACATAAAAGATGAAGCAGGCCAGGAGCAGAAAGAAATTCCAAAGAGTGAAATCTCATCTAACAGAGACAGTGACAACTCAGCTATATCATATTTCCTGTGGGACTGTTGGGTTCCAGACACTAGATTTTCTATTTTAATAGAACCAATAAATCCAAATTATTATATTAAAATGTCCAGTACTCGTTATATTTTTTAAAACCAAATTACTGACCAAAGAAAGCACATCTTTAAACCATATTCAGCCAAAAGTTTTAACATTTGATTTACTAGCTACCAGTGGGCTCCTGTTTATAAAAAAGTTAAATAATTATTATTAATCATATTAACAACATATACATTTAGAGCAATGAGTAGCAGCAAGAGGACAGAGTTGGCAAGGATATTTGTTTTAGTGCTTAATATTAGAGGCTATTCAATGCTATGTCCATTGTCTCAAAATGCTGATTTTTATATTAGACACTTTGATTGTAAAAAGCATAGATCTTTCAGAACATGAGTGCAACTGAATGGAGCAATGGGGAGCTCTTTTCTTTAAAGCTGAGTGATGAAGAGGTTTGAGTTCATGGAATATTGTCAGTTGCCATCATTTACAAGTACTGTGATCCATATGCCTTTTAAACATCTCTCACGTGTTGTGCTTTCACTTTACAGCATATACCGCTTGTTTTCAGCAGACCGGAAACGAGTTGAAACTGCTTTAGAGGCTTGTAGTCTTCCATCTTCAAGGGTGAGCATGTTGCCTATCTAAAATTAGCACTACTAAATAGCTTTGAATAATCATACCCCAAATTATGCAAACATTTTTTTAAATAAAGAATGCGGTGGGACTTACTTGTTAATATTTGCAATATAAGGGGTCACTGTAATTATATTTTCTTTTACTCTTATTACCCCAATACTTTAATCTAGAAAGATCCTTGTTCTTTGTAAATTAAAAAAAAAAAAACAATAACCATCTCATATAAAGAATATTGGCCAAAACAATATTAACATTATCAAAAATTTTAACTTCTCATTAATAAGTCTTTCTGAGAAAGATGGAGGATCAAAACAGTTTGGATACCAATCACTTCCTTTGCTTATATGGTAGAAAAATAGATGAGAGGTCAAGCATATAACATGCTCTTTTTTTTTTTTTTTTGGCCAGCACATTCAAGGCACTCGATATATATTAACCACTTAAGATAATTTGTCTTTAGTTCAATCTATTTCTACATACCCGGCTCTAAAAGAATTTATCATTGTTTCTGGGAGAAATGAATCTATGGTGCGAAACCTTTTTCTCTTGCTATATGCTGAATTCTCCTTTCTATTACAAATTATTTTTATCTGAGTATCTAAGCAACAAGTAATCACTCTTCCAAGAATAACACTTATACTATAGGCAGAACCTTTGAGCCTCTTGAAACACGCTGGCAATGTTCAAGTTGCACTGAACGAAGTTGAAGAGCCATTTTGAAACTTATGATTCAATTATGCAAAAGTATTGAGTGCTGTTATTAAATTCACCAGCCAATTCTTGTTGTGAATACTTTTCAGAGAAATGAAGTTTATTACAACTTCAGTAGGTAACAGGAGAAAAAAAGAGTGCCCTTCACTATCTGTTTCCTGCTATAGGCAGAAAAAAGCTGATTATATGGCAACAGTAAGACAGAGCTTTGGAAAGCCTCCTAAAACATTTTAGCCTTCATTTTAATAAGCAAAACAAAGTGATCCAAATTGCTTATTATTGTTCTTTCATTGCTTATTATTGTTCTTTCATCTAATGAAAGAAATAACAGTTAAGGAAAGATATAACAGTTAAGGTCCTATTGTTAAATCAACAAATATTTCTTGAACTCTTACTGTGTGCCCTCAAGTGCTAAGAATATGATAGTGAACAAAATGAAGTCCCAGAATTCAAAGACCACAGAGTCTGGGGGTGCTAGTCAAACACCTCGACTGACGTGTAAATTGGAGGGAATGCTATGAGCAAGGGGAATTGAATGCCGCCTTTGAGAATAAGGGAAGCTCATTCCAGAAAAAGAAAACAATGCGTGCAAAGCCCTGAGGCTGGAAGGAATTGACCGGTTTGAGTAACCGGAAAAAAAGACCACTGCATTTAAGCATTAAAAAAAAGAGTGAGCTTAATTTAGAAAGATAAACAAAGTTGTTGTGTTTTTTCCTCTGCAATTGCTCCTGATTTTACCTTTCTTGGATAACGTCTTGTGAAATATAATGATCAAAAATTTTAACTTATTATTATAAATCTAGCTAAGGGAAAAAAGGAATAAAAAATGAAACCAAATAAAGTCTAATTCATCAATCAATTCTCTGTAAATTGCAATTTTCTAAACAATTGGATTCTGAGAATTCAGTCAATAAATATAAATTGAGTTTTTTACAATCCACTATGTCTATTATAGGTTTACACTTTCAGACCAATGTTCACTGGAGACATTTTAATAGGAAAATGAGATTCAAATAACAGGAGTTATATTTAATTTTTAAAAAATATTTATCTTCAGTAAATTAAATGTTATAATGGTTTTCTGAAAACATACTGGAGATTTTTTAAAAATATAATCAACCTCTATCATAAAGTTTTGAAAGATTCATGATAAAATATGCTTTACGTGGAGGAGTTGTAGAAATGGAAAGCTCTAAAAGATCTAAAAACCAAAGACAGTTTCGGAGCTGGGAAATAAATGCTTCCGCAAACAGACTATATTTTAAATCCTTGTTGTAATTTCACATCTGCAGAACGGTAGCTCTAGAAAATATCCACTAATTAACAAAAAGATTCTGGTTATACTGACAAGAGGTGTTTTAAACACTACACAGAAGAAAAGGTTATATAAATGGTACTGCATTCTGGAGCCTCATTTCACAGCCGGCAGTCGTTCAAACTAGATTTAATTGTGTTCTGTAAATAGATACATTACCAGAAACACAGTGGATATGCTGTTGAGATTTTTTAAACATTATCTTTGTGCACATTGTTAAGGATAATTAATGCACTTGAACTTGTATCCTGGCCAACATGATCCATTGGAATAACACATTCCTTTAGAGGGTGCTCCTTTAGAGATTACAGTTGCTTGCCCAAGTTACCTTAATTGTTAAAAAGTAGTACTATATCTAAAAAGAGAGACAAAGCAATTACTGTCCTTCTATTAATAATCCAAACACATTTTCCAGTGAGACCTTTGAAGACCTTTGCATATTCAGAAAATTACCACTTTACCCACAAACTTTCTGAGCACTAAAAATAGTTTACTTGTACCAAATTCCCTTTGATTTAAGGCTTATTAACTTGAAAACAGCTCAGTGACATTTGGAATCGTAGTCTTCGCACAGCATCGGCATATATATTTGCATTTTAATGAAGAATATAAGGAATAAATTCATGTGTTTGTTTTAAATAATAAAGTTTTACTGTGGTTGTGAAGGTAAATGTAATACTGAAAAAAACAGTGATTATTTTGGATTAAAAGAATACCTTAAATTTTACTAAAGAATACTACGAATAAAACTTGCAAAAGAACATCTCACAGGATAACTATAGTATTTGCCATTCTCCTAGGCTTTACATCCCAAACGTAAATCAGAAATATAATCATTTCTGTAGCTATGATTCTTAAAATCACTGATATCAAATTTTCATTTTAAAACCACATTAAGTAATTCACTGTGAGTAGCTTACTTGTAATTATTTTTTGTACTCTATGGCTAACTCAACTTTTGGTTTATAGTTTTAGAACAAAAATATTGAGAATAGGTTGAAACTCTGAATTTGCTGACAAATAATCGATCATTTTTTCAAGATAAAATCTCTTTGTGGACTCTGGACCCATTAGAGTCTGCTGCAATAAATTAATATATCTTTAAATAATATTTTTCTGAATGTTAAGTACCTGTTTGTTTAGAATTATTTTTTAAATCAGAAATATAGAAAGAAGAAAATACTAACCGCATCTAAAAACTGATGTGACCCTTTAGTTTGCTGGATCTCAGTGTGAGTTATGGAATCAAGTAACTTGAGTTCAAATATAGTGCCCCCCAACTTGCTCACAAATCTTGGCATGTGAATATGCCATATCCAAATCTATGGAATCTGGAAATGCAAATGCCATAAGTACTCCATCAAGGTTTTTTGTCGTTTTGTTTTTTAATATTTTCTCTTTTGAGATTCTTTGTAAATAAGAATGGAATTAAAGCAACCCAGTTTTTAAAGTTTGCAAATATTTTGTAGTTTCTGGAATAAACAGGCCTGATTCAGATTATTCTGGCCTTCTTAATTCTTCCAAAAATTTTTGATAACAATAGCAACAAATAATCATTGAAAATCTGCTTTGTATTGGAGGCATGATTTGGTGGACCAAGTCTTGGAGTATAAGACAGAAGACCTAAGGTCTGGTCCCATCTCCTGGGTTTGTCCAACAAACATTGATTAGGTGTCTATTATATGCCAGCCATCATACTGGGGACACAAAGGAACTAAATATGAGATAGTCTCTTCACTCAAAAACTCAGTCTAGTAGAAAATCAGAAATATAAAAAATAAAGGGAAAACTGTGTGATGGATGCTATAATAATGGTATATAAGGGTGGATTTTGGACACACACACACACAAAAGAATGCGTCATCTCTAGCCAGGAAAGGTTCACAGAAGAGTATTTAAATATTGGGTATAACCCTTAGAGTATTGGACCTTGGGCTTCCTTCTGCTCATACAGGACAAAATGAATCTGTTCCATCCATTTCACCAAATTATAAGATCTAAGAAAAGAAAATATGTGAATGAGCTTTGTGAATTTCAACCTTGTTTAAAATATAAGGAATTAGGAAATGTCCATAGCTTTTTCCTAAATATCTCCCCTATACTCCTTCGCATTAGCTTTCAATGATGCTTATTTTAACTCATTTTTCCAAAATATTTTTTCTCCTACTTTCACCCACTGACCCCAAAGCCTTCAGGGTATCCTCATGAGTCAAGTTGGGCAATAGGAAAATGAGGCAAAGAAAATCAGCTATACTGAAATATTTTCCTTTTTCTATGTACTAACATCCAACTGGAAATGGTAGCAAATTATATTTATTCAGATTATCTCATTAATTTGTCTCCTTTAATAGGAAGTCCTAATTCACAGCTGGTAAATAAACAATAATTAGAGTTTTAGTAAAGTATATTATTCTATGAAATTATGTGTCTGGAATCTTATATAAATGACTTTTGTTGAATCTGATATTCTACGGGAAACATATAACACATATGTCCTTGGTACCAATTTCCACCTTTCTCATAAGTTACATTCATTTATTTGCTAATTATTTTATTGCATACCTGCTGTGTATTACACAGTGGAAATGGAACAGTTAACAAGCAAAACACAGGTGCTGGCTTATGAGATGTGCAAGCTGGCAAGGAAGAGAGAATTGTGCAGCTGGGAGCAAAATACAGTTAAATGACTGTTGAAATATGAGACAAGACAGGTATGATGGTGGCACGTAATGGAAGACAAAACCCAGTCTGGGTGGAGGGAAACACCCCTAGAGGAAGAGATTTTTAACTAAGATAAGAAGGGAGGAAAAAAGCGGGTCAGTAAGAGAAGAAAGACGATTATTGATATCCTTAGATAAAATACATTTATGAGTGTGTTGGGTGAGATTTAGGTGGTGAGAGGAGTGAGCTCTAAATAGTAACTAAATAGTAGGGAGACTGGGAGAACACAGCTGAGGCTCAT